TAATCAGCCCCCCCCCTCCCCTTTTTTAAAAACATGTTGTAACGCTTTGTTATTCTATGTCTAAGTATGTGTGTTCCCATTTAAACAAAAGAAAGCAACTTTTTTTCGAATCTGACATGTATATTATGTATCAAAATAAAACCACAGAATAATGAACTGTTAAAAGTTTTCCCTTTCTGTGCTTGCTTTGTATGGGTTGCCTGTTTTTTTTTTCAATTACAAAGATTTCAGAAAAACATAACATAATTTATAATTATTTATTGTTTTATTTTCTAAACCTTAAAAGGGATATACTTTATTGATCATCCATTGCAGGGATTTGAGACTATACTTTCACCTGCTTCTGCGCACGACACAAGGTATACTCACATGGTAATGAGAACACCCAGTTGGTTTTTACATTAGACTACGGAGCGAATGGCTTTGGTAAAAATCCCCAGCGTGGCGTTCTGAACTTGGGAGTTTTGAGAAAATATTTTAGCCCCCCCCCCCTCCTTCCCCCCGTAAGACTCTGCTCTATCGACGGTGAACGTTAAATTCAGAGGTCTTACTTCTAACGAATCTTTACAGTGTTGAAAGAGGACTTAAACCTACGCAGTGACTAATTCTTGGCATCAAATCATAACATACATTTTGTTTTCCTCTCTTGTCTTTTCCCCTTCCCTCCCTCCTTCCCTCCCTCCCTCCCCCTCTCTCTCTCTCTCTCTCTCTCTCTCTCTCTCTCCATGGTAATTCTAGGGACATACAAATGGCAAAACACATTGCAATGGAATAACGATATGATGAGCTTGAATAACCTCTTGTCTTATTTTCCAATTTTCAGCTGCATTATCACCGCTGCCTGTGAGTCGCGGCAGGGTGTTTTGCTTTGGGTCGTTCCCCGTGTGGGGAGAATTTGTAATGAGTATCTCGGTCTTTCTACTGAGACCTTGTATCCTTCTCAGTATAGCCTCAATTTGACCTGCCCGGCAGGATCGAAGCCCGTATCGTCATGATCAATATTGGGTAGTTGAGGACGAGTAAAAACCTCTATTCAAAAGAGCAGAAAAAATCAGCAAGAAATCCCTCTACATGGTGAAATTATATACGTACTTTATTACGTTTCGCCTTCTTTACTCAGTTGCAATATTGGTCCTGGCAAAAAGACAAACAAAACAAGGGGCAAACAAACAAACAAACAAACAAACAAACAAACAAACAAACAAACAAAACAAAAAGACAGATGTCTTTTGTCTATGTTGTTGAGCAGTGTTTGCTCTGGATGGCCCTGTAACGAATCCCCGAAAGTGCGTTTTGAACTTGAGTTATTGTGGGGCGTTTGTACGGCTCTTCTTCATACATTTTGCATGTTCCTATCAGAGATGGACATAAAATTCAGAGGTCTCGCCTCATAAAGTACCTCACAATGTTGGAAGGGGCGTTATCCCTATATAATTTCGTAATTAATTTTGCAGTGTTTATATACAATAAGTACGTTCTCAGTTCTAGCTCGCTATGATTAGAACAAGGATAAAATCAAACTGAGATGAAAAGAGACAAAACAGGGCATCTACTGAACTCCCACTACACCTTCTCTCAACCGTTAAAGAAATGTGGCAGGACACCGGCGTTTACGAACCATAGGAAAAAAAACAACTAGTTATGAACGGGAAACCAATTTCATTAGTAGGACTAATTGCAGCTATGACAATTCTTCAAAGTTACTTGCACCCCCCACCTCTCTTCCCTTTTTACAAAAGTAACACCCCTCCCCCTTTTCCACACAAAAAAAGCTGAATGGAACAAACAAAGAGAAACAGCAACAACAGAACCCGTTCACACCCTACCCTCGACTACCTCTACCTCGACTCCCTGAGAAAAAAGGAAGAAAGCGTGGAAATTAAAAACAATGCAAACAAAATTAAAAAGCAAAAAAAATTTTTTTTTTAATTACAACAGCCCCTCCCAAAACAAAAGAAAACTAAACAAAAAACAAGAAATCCAAATCGCCATAACAAAACAATATTTATTTTTAAAAAAAAAGAAAGACAAAAGAACAATAAAATTATTAAGTCGAAAACGTCCTAGTCCGTGTGGGTAAGGTGAACCCGTATTGGGTTAGGATACGCTGTGATCCTCAATGATCAAGTCAGAAGCCTTCTCAGCAATCATGATGGTTGGCGCATTGGTGTTGGAGGACACCAGGACTGGCATTATGGAGGCGTCCACCACACGGAGACCGGAGACTCCTTTCACTCTGAGCAGACATACGTGAACGATAATATTATGTCTTTGAAAATCAGTTCTAATACATGCGTTATGCTTTCTAACACATATTTAAACAAACACATAGCAAAAATAAACACACACGCATGCATACATAAACACAGACGCATAAACACACACACACACACACACACACACACACACACACACACACACACACACACATATATAAATATAGATATAGATAAATATTGCACATACACATATAGAGGAATGTTATGTATACGCACATTAACACACCCACAAACATAAACACACATTCCCACAGCCCTGACACTAGGCTGACATGCCTTTCACTCTGTGAGGACAGACACGAAAACGGTCAGGAAAATTAGAGAAATTGTGTTTTTTAAATGTGATTTATGTTTTTAACAACAAACAAACACACACACACATAAAGACACACATTATGCACACGTAAAAACACTCATACAAACACCTACAGACTCAAACACACTCACATACACACACACACACACATACACACACACA